GCCCCGGCAGCACCAGCAGCACGGCGCGGCACTCCTCCTCCTCCTCCTCCTGCAGCCAGTCCAGCGCCACCTGCCCGCCGTCCGACAGCTTCAGCACCTCTCTGCGAACACCTCTCCCCTCAATATTCACTAAATAAACAAATAAAACAACATAAATACAACAGTATTTGATTTACTATTTACATAGGAGGCCTTCTAAAGAGCCTCAAAGAGATAGATACGTATCTAGAAACCTAGAGATATAAATCGATGCAAAGTAATGTGTGTTATGTCTAGTTTTTTTAACTATAATTCAACCACTGTATATATAAGAAGGGCTGAATTACAAAAAAACTAACGGGTCATGGACATCCGCAACACCAGAGGAACTACAGATGCGTTGCCGGCCTTTGAGGAAATGATAGGCTTCTTGAAGGACCCTAAGTCGTATTAGTTTGGAAATACCGCCGAGGACAGACCGTTCCACAACGCGGCTGTGCGAGGCAGAAAAGTGCCGTCACCAAAGATTACGTGCGATTTTAGACGTTTTTAATTCGTTTTTGGTAAAGTCTCCCGAAAGTGAAAACAGTTTAATCACTGTAGGTATTCATAACAACATAGATCTCTATGAAATAATTTATTTACCGTCGAAATTGCAGCGGCGGCAACAACAATGAACGTAGCAGAGAGCCGATTACCGTCTGTAACCTTGATTCCACGCACCACGGCGTGGGCCAATAATATTCATTCAGAATAGGCACATTCTCTTCCAGAAGTTGTCGGAATTCGCCTTTTCGGCAAATTAATATAGGTTTCTGAAATAAAGCGATTTAACATTCTTTAATTGTAAAACGTTCTAATCCCATATACACAGTTAATAGTGTACTCTTCCACCACAGTCTTATCGCAATTTTATAAGATAATTGACTTTACCTTGACTACCTCTACTAGATAATAGGTTAAGTATAACACCGACAAGGATACGCACACTAATAGCTCCTTTTTAATTTCGAGAATGTACATAAACATTTTTGTTTTTCTAACTTAGTGTATAAAAAAAATTAAATAACATTATCAACAAAAAATGTACTGAGATATTTACGGTTTCACGTCATGTCTAGGATAAGAATTAACACGAATGTCAAGTATGATTTGATCGAGATTTGAAGTTTCATCTTTACGAAACTGTCCAAATGTAACGACGGGTCATAGATTATATGGAATCTCTGGCGCCAGTTAGCGTTCACACTATGCCAGTTGATTGACAGTCCAGTTTTTGAGCGCTACTTACCAACTATACTGGCCTAGTGTGAACTGCACATTAGTGATCTACATATTATGATGTTAAATAGTAGCGAATTACAAGATTTCTTTTGGCAGAAGGACGCTGGTTAGTTATCATAATTTAGTTGAACTTATTCCCATCGGTTAAATAACTTTGCTGGTACTTAAGTACTTAACTTATTTTAGTAGTTTGTTTATAGGTACCTACTCTATGGTGTGACAAGTAAAGGTGAATTCAAGTTTTTTTTATAATGTTGGTAGTAGCACAGTTTTACATTCTTCAACAAACGAGCAATGTGTAATGTGCATTCTTAACTTTAAAGTTTTTAGTTATTAAAATTAACTCTCCTTGCGAAGTGTGATTTAATTATTATATAGTTTCGAACTGGACCCTAAACCATACTAACGCTAATTTCGACAGTATCCGATAATTTTTAAGTTTAGTTTTGTTTATGTTCTGGTTTGAACTTTTCTTGTGAGAAGTAAATAATGCAAGGGACAAAAATATTAAGATGTGTAAGACGATGTGTTCGCAGGGACTTATCCTTAACCCAAAGGTAGGTTTAATAGGTCGTTGGAATTTTACATTCAGGTATCAAAATCAGCTGTGACCTAAATAAACTTTACTCACATGAACCTTGGACTTTGTACAATTGCTCTAGCGGGTCATCTTTTCATCACAACTCCCCTTTCTAAAATTATTGTATTATATAATATAGTCACACTGTCAGATTTTGAACATATCTGCATCTTAAATATAAAATAATAGATAACAATTGCATGTATGATCACCATATTTAATTGTTTTTACATATATACACTCTTTGACGCCAGCAGTTTTGTTTTGAATCATTTTTAAAACCATTTCTTATATCTGTAATCCATACTTTACACAGTAACATTTTTATCAGAAAAAATGAAGTAGGCAAAGTGGAATACTTTTTGGGTATAAAGGCATATATGCCTCAGTCCATTTGTTATTTTTTAAACTAAGTGTACCAAATTTTAGCTTCTTAAATGTCTGACATTTTGGGTAAATTTAAAAGTTCATAAGTTTTAACAAAAATGGACTAAAGAAAGATTGCTTCTATGTTCCTCATTTATCTTTAAATGTGTAGTTATTTTTTTTTAAATTAACGATCATAAAGTCATTAACAAACATACATTTTACAAACAAAATACTATCAATGGAATAACATTTTTTGTACAGTAGGGGAATGTTCTAAAGATATCCTTAACCAACCACTTAACTTCAATATTAAAATTCACAATTGTACAACCACCAATAATAACTGCCCTTGCCCAGACTTAGTACAGGTTGACTGCACTAAATATCTTGGAGTCATGATAGACCAGAGATTGTCTTGGCACAAGCATGTTGAGTTAAATACATCCAGAATAAGAAAACTGATTTGGTTCTTTAAAAATATCAGAGATATTGCCTCCAACAAGCTATTAAGTCAAATTTACATGGCTCTTGCTCAGTCGATTCTAACATACTGCATACCTGTCTGGGGTGGCACTAACAAAGTTAAGATTTTGGAATTAGAACGCAGTCAACGGTCTCTCATAAAAGTCATGTACCGCAAACCCTATAGGCATCCTACTACATTACTTTACTCTGAGAGCAAGCTGCTGAGTGTTAGGAAATTATATATATTGCAATTGCTAATGTTAAAACACAAATCCGTGTCTTATAATCCTAACTTGAGTCCCAAAAGAAGAAAAAACGCAGTGAATGATGGAATGGTTAAAACTTATTTTGCTTGGCGACAATATAAAAAGTAGTCAGGAAATATGTATAACAAAATTAATAAAATTTTAAATATCTCACAGTTGAAGTTATATGACTTAAAAAAGAGTGTTACAAATTGGCTTTATCAACTAAAATATGAAGAGGCAGAAACAATACTCAAGTGAAACTAGTAAAGATACTTAAAACATCTCTCTCACACACACACACACACCCACCCACACTCACGATAACTCCTTCACACTCATACAACACTCACACAAACTCACACACAAACACATACAAAATGCAACAAAGAAACACATGAACAAAATATAAAAATTCTTAGAATATAAGTATGATTATTAGATATAAAAATGTAATGTATGCTATGGAAGAACGGGACATTCTGTCACAAGTAATTATTTTACTTACAAGAATGTCCCAGCAACGGATACCTAATTGTAAAAAATTATGTTTTTAAGTAATAAACAATTTATTAATTATTATTATTATTATTATCCTGCCTTTTGGAAACAGTCAAGGTAGACTCACTAAAATAATTCACTATTTTTTTAGGGTGAAAAAAGTGAGAAACTTGGTTTTATGGGAACCTCTATAAGTAACAAAGACCATGCCTGTATGCAATATGATTGTGACATTTCAGACTTTGACAATAAATTACTAGGATGCAATAAAAAAATCACTAGGATTTTACAACATAGAAGTATTAATTTGCACACTGAACTAGATAAAACCTTCTCTCAAAGTAGGTAAATGTATTTTTTACGTTGGAACCCTTCTCTGGCATTCTCCAATGCACTATGATTTCATCCCAATTTGATCAATAGTTTAAGCTGCAAGAATGCATAAAAGCCCCGTCGGAGAGACCTGACGCCCACACGCTGGTAGGCGGTAGATGGGCGTCAGCGGCTCTCCGGCAGCAGGAGAGTGACGGGCGCGTGGTCGCAGCGGGCGGCGAGCGCTGGCCACGGAGGCCGCGCGGCCGGACGCGAGCCGCGGTGCGCGCCAGAGCGCTTCCTTCACGCTGAACCTGTTCCGCGGCCACGTGGAGCCGGCGCAGGTGTTCCCCTTCCCCGAGCCCCTCACCGAGGACCAGCGCCAGACCTTGGCCGAGCTTGTCCCACCAGTTGAGAAATTTTTCGAGGAGGTGCATTCTAAAATACACATTCTATTAGCAATCGTTGCATTCGCACTGCATGCTTTCATTAAATGTTGATGGGTGTACCATGGTATATGTTATTATAGTTGGAAAAGGAAATGACGCAAAACTATTATGGATGACCAAATTATCTGTAGTTATTCGATGTGCACGTCGTTTCTCGGTGAAATACTAAGACTCTTTATTCTGTACCACTTCTTAGCAACGATGGTAATATCTTGCAAATTTAGAAACCTTCTGCATATTATGTCTCATGCTATTATTATATAGTTCGTCGAAGAGCACTATGAAATACCTGTATGCGTTTAGGTGAACGACCCGGCCAAGAACGACGCGGAAGCGCAGATCGAGGCGGGCACGCTGTCGGGGCTGTGGGAGCTGGGCGCGTTC